GCTATCATGTCAATATGAACCAAAATCTCTGAGGAATTTTCCAGTACCTTTTTGAATCTCTGCCAAGAATGATTAAAGCAATACTGAAGGCAAAAGGGTATCCAACTTAGAACTAGTAAGGTGTACCTAATAAAGTGGCCGGTCAGTGTGTGCGTATATATATATATATATATATATATATATATATATATTTAAATAAAATGTAATTAAAATTAAATGTTCAATTTATAAAACTAGCTCATTTTTTCAACATCTTCTGGAACTTCACTTCTACTACATTCAAACACTTCTGGAACAGTGCAAACACAAAGCGGAGCAACATTGGACTTGGTTGTTTAATATTGTAAATATAAATATACATGGATCATTTATGCCATCTTAGCATCTGTACTATAATGCTTAATCCTTTTTTTTACTGTTCAGAATTTACACTGAGGATAGCCACAGTCTATTTTGACTATTTGTCTATTAATTTTGTCCCATCATGCCCATTTTTTATTATTACATGATAAGGTGATGCACTGCGTGTATGCTTTACTAAAAAGATAAATGTTTATTCTAGTTTTGAACTATCAGAGTGTGTCTGAGCCTCGGATATTGTCAGGAAGACTATTTAAGAGTTTAGGAACCATAAATGAGAAGGCTCGACCTCCTTTAGTTGACTTTGATGTTCTGTTTACTACCAGAAGCCCTGAGTTTTGAGATTTTGAAGAACGGATGGTGTAGCGCCATCTAACGTCAAGGAGTGATTTTGCGTACACTTCTGCTTGACGGCAGTGAAAATTGCTTGGGTTTGAATGCGAAAAACGTCTCGTAAAACGCTGATGATAAGCGCAAATGAAAAGCGTCCCGGTGTGTAGGAGCCTTCAGATGGAACAAGCATGTACGAACAACAAACTTAACATGGTTATTAAAACGCAAAGCTCTATCAAAGATGACACCCAGTTTTCTAATGTCACAGCAATTTGAAGATGACAAACCCCCCCAAAACTTGCCTAATCATTGCAGCATCATTTAATCATGCTATGGCTTTTCTGACAGCTTTTGGACGGACACTTCTGAGAGTCTAAGATTACATAATTTGTTAACGTAAATTATGCTAAAAATGTAAGCTCAAGAGTTCACACTTAGCTGATGATTGATTAGTTTGGCATGCTGTCCCGGCAGAGAGCCCTAAGCTCAAAAAGGTCCTTGAGCCCTGGGCTACCTCCCATTTACAGGGCGAGAGGGGAGCCTTGAGCTCAGGTAGATCTCGACAACTCCCCCTTGATGAGTTGATGACTAAAAATTAAATGCTATGAAGAGATATGCTGCAGGATGAGAGATTGACTGTCGTGCAAAATTTAGATTGATCAGTTTACTTCTGGTGCATGTTTTTGGAATTTGGGAGGATACCGGAGGACACGAAAACCCAGGAGAGCACGGGAAGAACATGCAAATTACACACTGAAACGACCACCACCCTGTTAAAAGACTAGAACCGGTGACGTTCTTGCTGTGAGGCAACAGTGCTAACCACTGGGCCACCGTGCCACCATATGGAGGGAAAGGTGAAGAGGTAGGGGTGGAAGGGGGGATTCTTCAAATTGAAGATGACTGTAGTGAAAAACCCAGCTCTTTATAGTGGGTTAGGAATGGCCTGATTGGTGGATCATGCATGCTAATGCAGAACCAGCCGCGTTCAATCATAATCACGTGATCCTCTCAAAATTAGTTTATGAATGAACTTCACTTAGTGAGTTTTACAACTTACTAAACTGTATATAATTAGTAACTCTGTATATCTTGTGACAATCATATTTAAACGCACAGCTTTACGACCAAAGCTCTACAGTTTTTACTATGAAGCTAAAACAAAGTGTATAATTTAAAAGTAATACCATCATGACGGAGACATAAGCAAATAAACGTACAATGCTAACTGAGAAGGACATTTCTGGACCATCTGTGATTGAGCCACAATGTTTAGAATGAGTGACTAAGCCATGACGTTTATGTTTTTAAGCATCTTCAAGAAACAAAATATTTGTCTGCTCTAGTAAGAAATCGCTGACGACTGCTAGCCTGGAACAAACAAAACGTCAAAATGACGGCTAACAGGATCCTCTCCCAGCTCCGCGGCTGCGGCATCCCGTCTCCACAACTTTCTCATTGGCTTTCTGTAAACTGCGCTCCAGCTCATCCCAGGGGAAATCAGTTTAACATTACTGTCAGTGTCGTCCTTGGAGGGCCATGGAAGCGGGCCCCTACCCATATGCAGATGGCTAATGCAACGCCGCTAATTCACTCTCAGTGTCATGTTCAGTCCCCCGGCGTGTCATTGGGGGAGTGCATTGGCCTGCAGGAAGTGAGGAACTTGTCACCGGGATGAATAATACAATAGAGGGGCATCTTTACATGGTGTTCGACGCAGCGTTTCTGCACTCATTGGGGAGCTGGAGCAGGCGGCTGTGGACGTCACGTTGTGCGGGTGGCTCTCTGAGTGGAGATGGTACAACTCCACGACCTGATTTTGGAGGGTTAGACACGTTCCTAGGTCAACAGTTACTTTTTTGTCAATAAAAATGGTTTAAAGATAGTTATTTCTGCGCATTTGTGAAGCTTGTCAGTAGGAAATGGCAGTTTACATTTTATAAATATTATGTTTGATGGTAGTTGGCTTTATTTTTGATGGTCTCTTTTGCTCATTTTGTTGACTAAATTGCATAACTACATGCACATTACTTCTCATTTGAGTATTAGCAGACTGTCTGCTTAATATCTGCTGATACGGCTCCTTTAAAAGACATTTAACTGACTCTAAGAAACTTTGCAAGTACACTAACCCCGACCTAGCAGACTATTTATAATCTAATGAGAATTAGTGGCATGTTGATGCAATGTAACTTAAATTCAACAAAATGCATTGAAGGGACCATCAAAATAAAGTGATACCATTAGTTGTAATGATTAAGTTAGATTTTTGTATGCGCAATGAGACCAGTTCGTCTGGATGACATTTAGAAACAGGAAGAGCTGAGACAGACTAAATCCAGAAGAACTGTGATAATATCTTCAAAAAAACCACCCTTTTCTCTTCTTAAAAAAATATATGTGGCCTAGCTTAGATTTTCACTATATTTTATTCATCATTAAACTACATTCTTGTCTGAAAATATCCCACATGAAACAAATAAAAGATTACTTTTATTTATAGTAAACACTATATAGTGTTTTTGAACCATACTATAGTAAAACACATGGATTAATCTGTCTAATTATTTGCTGGTCAGGGTTTATTTCATAAATATATGTAATATTTTTTTTTTTATATTTAATTTTTTTTTTTTAATTTGCTTAAATCTCCTGTGATGTTCTATATGACAAAAAAAAAAAAGGGAAATTGGAACTTGTAATGCTAAAGTTGCTCTGGTAATGCATCTAGAATAGGGGTGGCCAAACTTTTTCTTATGAAGGGCCAAAAATGACACTTGATTGAGGCTAGTGGGCCGAAGGTAAATATAGTTGCCATGTGTAATTTCCTTATTTATTTAATAACTTTTAAAGAATAACTAGAAAACATTGCTTTATATTAACTAATATAGTATATTTTTATATTAGTTATTACAGTAAAAACAGTTTTTTAATATTTATAACAGAATGGAGTAACACTAGTTTTTACCTTGATTTGCTCACTGATGTCTTCTTCGTAGTCCTCTATCCATCAAGTGACAGTATTCATTTTAAAAACTCAGATTAATTTACAGCCTATATCTTCAGTTTGCTTTTTTTGTGACTCGGCAATAAAACAAACCAAAAAGGGTTACGTCAAATGGAAAATGATGATCTGTTAAAGGCATTCTCCCTAACTATCTCCATCCTTCTCACTCTCTC